TGCTGCAGTAAATACACAAAAGATACACGATTGGATGATGGAAAGACAAAAACAAGCAAAATCAAAAGGGATCGACACAGTCGAAAGATTTACAGATGACTATAATTCATATAAAAATTCAACTGAATATTTAAAAATAGCTATGTCAGACACTGAACATAAAGATTATAGACAAAGTGTACTCTATTCAATGTATAATTAAAAATAATAAATATTAAATAAATAATAAATGTGTTCTTATTTAAATAGTAAAATAATCATAACGATTGTAAGAAAGGGTGAATGGATGAGAATAAGGTTCTCTCCTAGCAGAGATGTTTAGGAGGAACATCTCAAGGAGGTGTCAGTCGAGCGACTGCATTCGTAGTCTCTAGCATTCTCACGAAAACAGTTCCCTTCGTGGAGAGAGCACGTGTTGACTATAGACAGCATACGCTCCCCTCCGCACATCATGGTCCACGCTTAGCTAGAGCGTAGGAGAGAGAGAGACAGAGAGAGAAAGAGAGAGAGCGCACGTTTACTACTACTATAGTAGCGCATCCCCGTCAGGTCAGAACTATAGACAGCATACGCTCCCCTCCTCCTCCCACTGTGGACCACGCTGAGTCAGAGCTAGAGAGAGAGAGCATACATTTAATACTGCTATAGTAGCGCACCCCCATCAGGCCAGAACTATAGACAGCATGCGCTCCCCTCCTCCTCCTCCGCACGCTCGGGCCCTATACCAAATGTATGCGTGTGTAGCTAATATACACAATATGCATCCTCTAAGGTACATGTGGCATTGGCTCTAGTGGTAGAACGCTAGCCTGCCAACCCAGAGGACTCCGGTTCGATTCTCCGGTCTGTCTTTTCATTTTTTTCAAAAAAAAATCGTCGCTATTTTCTATATTCGTTTCATTCTCAATGTAGTAAGTAAATTATTAATAATATATATATATATTTATAACTTTAAAAAAACATTTAAATTTAATTAGACTAAAAGCACTAGGTATAGGATCCCTAGGGACTAGGAGCCCTAGGGACTAGGAGCCCTAGAAACCTTCCTCAAAAATTATAAACAATTATTAACATTAATAATAATAATAATAATTAACATAGAAGGGATAGAGGCCAGGGAATCAAAGGGTTAAACCAAGGGACCCCCCACGAATATTGTTAATAATAATTGTTAACAATAATAATTATTATTAACATAGCCAGGGGGTCCAAAGGGTTAAGCCCGGTGGGGTCAAAGGGTTACGGACCCCCCGCAGGTGTGCTGGAACATACATTGCTATACTACTCACAGTCATCAGAACTTCGTAGCCATACCCTTAGAAGCTATCACGGCAGCACATCGGTGAGGCATCGATTCAATAAGTGTCACAATCCTATCATGAGAGATATTGTTCGACGTTGCACTTTTTGCTATAGGGAGGCTTTATTAGCATAGTTTTGATTTCCTAATCTCATTTTTAGCTCTTGCCATAAGTGTTCAATAGGATTTAAGTCTGGAGACTGACTCGGCCACTGTAAAACTCGAATTTTTTTCTTACTAAAAACTTGCTGAAGGAGGTGTGACCTGTGTTTTGGATCATTATCCTGCTGAAATATCCATCCTCTGGGCATGTTTTGTCGAGCATAAAGTAGCATTTGCTCCAATATAATATCCTTGTACACGACAGAGTCCATATTGCCTTCTATGCCGACGCCTTTCCATGAAAATGCACCCCATAGCATTATGCTACCTCCACCATGCTTCACAGTCGGTATTTGGTATCTTGAATCATATCTACTACCTACCGGTCGCTGCACATACCTTCTACCATCATTTCCAAATAGATTGATTTTAGTTTCATCCGAAAACAGCACTTTTTTCCAGTCCTCAACAATATAGCTTTCATATTTTTTAGCAAATTCTAGTCTGGCCTTCTTGTTTTTCTTACTAATAAGTGGTTTTTTCACACCAACACGTCCAACAAGTCCCACTTCTCTCAGTCTACGTGATACAGTACTACGACTGATGTCTGCTACATTTTCTTCGCGTAATTCGCGTGCAATAATGGCAGCATTCTTTTTAACATCTACGACAGCTTTTCTTTTGATCAATTTGTCAACACGATTAGTGGTTTTTCTTGGCCTCCTAGAACTCTTTTTATCTTTCAGAGTGTTAGTGCTGTGGAATCTAATAATTATATCATTCACAGTCGATTTCCCTATGTCTAGAATTTTAGATATATAACGAGAAACCTTTCCTTCATTGTGTAATTTAATTACGACTTATCGAATATCTACAGACGTGCGTTTCGGCATGTTTACCGATTGATACTGATGTCAGAGCATAACTGATAAACAGTTTCAGCGCTTACATACCTTTGTGACCGATAATGTAAACAAAGCCACGCGAATTGTATCTACGTAATAGTTGGCCGGATACTTATGAATAAGCCATATTTTCTATTATCGATATAAAATTTTGTTAAGCATTATAACAAATTGTTGGACAACGTGATTTGAATGCATAATAAAAGTACTTTAGTAAGATATGTTTGTGTTGCTACTTTGCATCATTTATACATGATCAAAACATAAAAACAACTTTGGCCGGACACTTTTGCCCGCAACTGTAGAACATAGCAATAACCTCAATACATCTACAAAAAACATGTATATATTAGAATTCCTGATAAAAAATTAGAAGAGTAGATAACACAAAATAAGATATTACATTTTATAGTAACATGAAATGGAACGTGTATACACAAAATCAGTACAATAGAATCTAGTACCTAACTTTTGTATTTAAAAATTATTCAAAATCATTAATACTGAGTTATTAAGAATACTTTACTATCCTTAATTTAATAGCATTATTATCTATAGAATAATACTGGAAAAATAAAAGGAATACAAAACTTGCAAACAAGACTACTAAAATTAGTTAATAAAAACAATGTCATAAGAGATAAAATTCTACTTTATATTGATCAATCTTTCATATATAAGTCTTTGCTGTATCACTTTGACGAACCATCTGACAAGCACATCAGTAACCAATATAAGTTATAATAGCTTGCAATCACTAAAAAAGGAGTTACAAATAAACATTAAAAATAGTTATATAAGAGCAATGTGTACCTCAACAAATAATCAAATGAACTTTAAATAACAGATAACAAGAGAAATAGAAAAGGAAAGGTAAAATATAGATGAGAGAGAAATTTTAAATACTCTTATTAATATTATGTATATAAATTAAGAATATAAGTGCAATCAATTGAGAGTTCTTTTACAAAAACAAGAACTGTAATGATGATGCAGATTCTACATGGGAAAGCCACGAGGAAACTGTATTTTTTGATAGTTTACTATTAAATATTAGAATATACCTATGTGCATACGGTATCTGCAACTTATACTATAAATGATCACCCAAATATACGCTATTCCACGTTACGGTACCTGCATACAATACAAATCATTTCAAACAGTTTCGACACTATAAACAAGCTTGTTGAAAAGATAAATACAAGAAAGAAAAACAAAAATTACAAGAGCATAGCCTGTTACTGCTATTGGATGACAGGAATATAAAATATTTAGATAATAATAAAATGATGTTATAAGAATATAAAATATCTAGATAATAATTTGACAGAGGTAAAAAAGGAATAAAAATTTTTGCAAATTCAATATTCATTAAAATTGCAACCTAAGCATAAAAAACTAGCAATTGATAACGACATGATCTTTACAGCATCTTGTCTTTCTTACTCAGCTTTTCAACATGGATCAATGTTTCCTTACAAGAGAGTTACTTGTATTGTCGGATTCATATATCCAGTGAGACTAAATAACATAGAAAAAATATTTACACACAGAAAAGAATATAAATATAGAACATTTTACAAACGCAAAATTAATTCTCATCAAATGGTAAAGAAAAATTAAACTACATAAGTGAAATTCCTACCTGCTTGTTTAATCCAGTAGTACTAATTTACTGGAGCATAAATAAGCAGAGACATGTTTTACTTATAAGTTAGATATCATTGTGTGCCAGATAAGCAAGCGAAAACTTACTTCCTTTGCTAGGTTATTTACTTTGTAATGTATATGTATATTTTTTACGACTACGTAATCTATGTATATGTACTCTGATAAATAAATAAATACATTTTTGCATATTTTTATTTATTTATTTATTTATCAGAGTACATATACATAGATTACGTAGTCACAATATGTATATATATATATATATATACATTAGACTACGTTTCTGAGGCCTGCAATGGCTCGGTCGGTAGGGCGACGGACTCGCACCCGGTAGGCTCGGGTTCGCTTCCCAGTCCCTGCTAATTGATACAAGCACCACTGAAAAAAGTTTCATGTGCTTTGTTCTCAAACACATTGCAAGCCTCCGTTACTGATTAGCACTGATGGAACATAAATAGAGCAATGTTAAATAAAAAAAAAATAAAAAAAAAATTAGACTACGTTAGACTACGTTAGAAAATGAAACATGTTCGGTCATATATTTGTGTTTAAAAACTACATATACAGTCGCCATAAACTATTTGAATATCTTTGATAAAAGTAAAGCTTTCCACGTATAAATAAAAAAAACTATAATTTTTACGTCATGTTTTAAATGGCAAAAGCATACAATTTCTAATGAAAAATATATTTTAAGAAAATATTTAATCTAAAGTTTAGGTGAGTTTTTGAGCACAGGGCATGGTTTTTAAAAAAATTATTCCCATGAAATTATCTGTTTTTACGTTATTTCATTCAAGAACAACATTTGATGAAAAATTTTTAACATCACTAAAGATATAATGTTATTTATTAAATATTAACTAATTAACTCTAACTTTATTATAGAAGGATTGGTTTTGTCACGTAATTCATTTAGAAGTAATTTAATTGAGCGCTACCCACCCAACTTACGCTAGAAGGGGAGACTGAAAGTTAATTAAGTTAAACAAGAGAACAAGTTAACAGACTCCACTTACGAAATTTAGTAGGGAAGCAAATCGAGGAAGATTGTACTTCCATTAAGCTTACGAGAGAGTCAGGATGTACGTTTTCTGCAGAGTTTACGTCATCATTAGTTATATTGCTACTGACTATGGTGCCGGTAGATACTAATGGATCCCTTGGAACATCAACCAAAAATAACTGTTCTGTTGCTTCATTGTGGTTACTGCCATTCCCTTTCAGATCCATAATTATTAGTTCTTAGTATAATGAATGACTAAAAATGTAATATGATTATATTACAAATGTAATAGGATTATATCTGTAAAATGAAATGTAATATATTTAATATGCATTAATCGTAAATTAACTTTTATGTAATGCAGTCTCGAATTTTTTAAAAAAGATTTTTTTTAATTTTTTAATATATATCACAATTTTATTAAAATTGTATAATATAATTTCTATCTTCTAGATTTTCAGTTTTACGAAGTCAATAACTTACTTATTTCAGTTTACCTATTATTTGCTTTTTCCTACACCTACGTAAGATAAGTAGTGTAGAGAATTGTATATTACATACAAGTTTCTCTGAGAGGGGTGATGAAGCCGTGAAAGTGTATAACTTGTTCACCACGAATCAATAGCAAACGAAAGAACAAGATAAAATATTTTGTTAACTTAATTTTCATTTATTAAAAGTATCATCCAAGTAATTAAAATCTGTTTTTAAATTAACTAATATTAATTTCGTAAAATACGCCTAATTATCATAAATATGCAATTTTCTAGAAATTTACAAAAAAATTAAATATTCATTAATAAGTTAATGTCTCGCAATATCAAACCAGAAGTAATTTTATGGTATAGATATGTATATAGAATCAGATTTTTAAAACTTATCCTTTCCACAATCGAAAAATAAAGTTGTTATGTTCTTTTTAACCGGTTTTATTTAATTCTGGTACTTGTTGAAATACATAAAATAGATCATTGTCGACCATAAGCAATTCATAATGATACATAAAGTCACGTATTTAAATTATAATTACTTAATTTTGGTATCTCTTTATCAGATAGCTTGCACATAAATTACATGTGCGTATTAATTTAACAATAAAAGACTATACATCGATAAATAAGTCTGCACAGTGTATAACGGGTCGAGAATTTTTTCTTGTCGATGCTCAATATAGAACATAAAGTTAGGTGTGAAATAAATGTAATTTGAATTGAAAATAAATGCAATTTGAATTGAGGCAAAATGGGACGCCATTTTGTGTTATTTGGGTTTTTAATGATATTTTGATCAATTTTCGAGATAGAAAAAAAAAATGAAATAGGAAATAAAGGGATTTCCAAGCCCTACAAAATGATTTGATTGAAAAAACTTTCGGTGCTAAATTTAAATTTTATTGCGCTCAAAAATCTTTTTCTAGAAAACAATACCCGACTAATCTCTGAAAAAATATATGTCATGTACTTTTACTTCTAAAATACTGTTGAATTATTTTAGTTTTTGAAAAGTGGTGGAACATATTAATAAAAATTATATTATTCTTCTAACGCTTTCTAGATAGATTATTCAGTGAAACAAATTGCACCATCGTATTCTACGAAAATGAAATACACCGAAAATATGTATCACACATTTTTTGTCAGTGGGGTGGGGTTGCATCACGAGATATCCAAGATATAACTTCCAATCTTATGCACTAGCACGAAACACAATAGATGCAACTTCAATATGTATTTATTATGACTTATTATAATCATAATTACTGTACTACATATATTTTCAATGTACTTTTTTATGTAGATTACGACAGTGTAGGCAGATTTATTCTAACATTTATCTGAAAACCTTTAAAAACGAAAAATAATTTGAAAACATGAGTTTCAGATGATTTTTAGGCTGTTATGTATTTACGTATACTCATCTTCGATTTTCCTACATTTAGCTCTAATCCCCTTTCTTCCAGGCACCTTTTTAATTTTTTCAGCATCACTTTCGTTCCACTTTCACACTTTGCCATCATCACTATATCATCTGCATATTCAAATGTTCATATATTCTTCCTTCCTATCACTACCCCTCCTTCTGGCACCTGTTTGATCTTGAATTCCAGGTCGGCGAAGGCAAGATTAAAGAGCGTGGTGGTCAAGGGGCACCCTTGCCTTACGCCTTTGTAAGTCTCGAACTCCCCAATTATTTCTCCTCCAACTTTTACCTTCCTCCCTGTTTTCTTATATATTTCTTCTATTCTTTTCCTATTTTTTCTATTTATCCCTTTGTCTTTCATTGTTTCCCATATTTTCTTCCTTTTTATCTTGTCAAAATCGGCCTTCATGTCGGCAAAGAATACAAACAGTTTTTCTCCTTTTTCCATTATTTCCTTCCCTATTATTGTTTTTAATAAATATATTGCGTCCATTGTTCCTCTTTTCTTCCTGAATCCCATCTGCGTATTGCTTAGCGTTTCTTTAGCTTCTAGTTCTCTTTCCAGCTTTTTCCTCAGTATTTCCGCATATATTTTATATCCCGTGTCCATCAACGTTATTCCTCTATAATTTTCTACTTCTTCTATACTCTCTTTCTTATATATTGGTACTATTATTCCCTTCCTTTATTCTTCCGGATATCCTTCTCCGTTCCATATTCCGTTTAAGCATTTTGTCATATCTTTTAACAAGCCTTCCATACCTTCCATCAACGCCTCGTTTGCTATACCATCTTCTCCTGTCGCTTTTTTCTTTTTCGTTTTTCTTATAACCTCTTTTACTTTTCTTACTTTGATTTTTCCACCTTCCTTCTTCTTCGCTGTTTTCGGTTTCTTCCCCTTTGCTTTCTTCCTTTTCTTTCTCTCCCAATCGTTCCTTGAAGGGCTTTAACCATTCTTCTTTTCCTATGTTTCCATCTAATCCAATTCTTTTCTTCCTATTACAATTCATTTTATCCCAGAATTTTCTTCTCGTCTTATCTTTTCTTATTTCTTCTGACACTTTTTTCCCTCAGCTTCTTTCGCTTTTCTTATTTCCTTTCTGTATTCTCTCTTTGCTTCTAGGTATTTGCCTCTGTCTTCTTCCCCTTTTCTTACCTTATTTAACTCTGCCATCACCCTATCCCTTTTTGCCTTACATTCTTTTATCCACCAGCTTTTTTTTGATCCTTTTTTTTCCTTATCTTCTTTTTTACAACTGCGTTCTTCACTCTATTTTTTATATCTTTCCATTTATCTGTTCCCTCTATTGCGTCTATCCATCTCTAATACTCCCTTATACCTTCTTCACTCCAGTCGTCTATCATTCTTTCTTCCTCTTCTTTTCATTCTTCCGCTATTTTGTCTCCCAATTTCACTTTTATAGGTAAGTGGTCCGACTTTACCCTCTCTTTTATTTAAACCGTTTTTATTGCCTCATCACCTTCCTCGTTACCTACTACATAGTCTATCGTTGACATTCCTCTCGCTCCTATATATGTTATTTCTCCCTCTTCATCTCCTTCTTTACTCCCATTCGTTATCACTAAGCCCATTTCTCCTAACCATTTTATCATTTCTTCTCCCTTTGCGTTTAACACTTCGTCCTTGGCTTTTATTTTTTCTAGGTTTTCTTCCATCTCCCATTCTTTCCCTTCATTTCCTGCTCTTGCATTGAAGTCTCCTGTTAAAATTACTGTTTTTCCTTTGTTTTTCTCAATCTCTTCGCTTAGGTATTCGTAGTTTTCCTTTTTCTCATGTTGCATATACACCGTTGCTATCATGTATTTCCTCCCTCCGATCTTTATTTCTCTTGCTACTCCCTCACTTGTCCTTTCTTTCTTCCATTTAACCTTACTCATCCCTTTCCTCCTTCTTACCACCATTATTCCTCCCTCTATTTCTCTTCCCCTTCTTCCTTCCCTTCTTGAGTCTCTCCAATCTATGTTATACCCTTTCAGTTACTTCTCCACCCCAACTTTTGCCCCTTGCCTCTTCACCCAGGTTTCGGTTAGCACTATTATATCAAATTCCCTAACATATTCCCAGTTGTCTTCCTGCATGCTCCTAATCCCTGCCACGTTCCAGAATAGTATCTTTACTGCCTCACTTCTCTCTCTCTCCCTTCCCTTCTCTCTCTCTCTCTCTTTTTCCCTATTGCTTTCGAAACCATTCCGCCCTTTTTTCTACCATTATTCCCTCTTTCTCGCTCCACCACCATTCTTCTTTTTCTGACTTCAACCCGTTATGCCACATCTTTACCTCTTTACCTTTACTTTTTATTTCTCTCGCTTCCCTTCTTACTTTCTCTCTTATCTTCCTCTGCTTCCACATCCAGTCCTGATCTATAAAAATCTTTTTCTGCCCCAGCTTCTTTTTCCTCTTCATAATTCCTTCTTTTTGTTCCCATAAAGTGCATCTAATTTGCCACATCTTTTTTCCTCTTTCTCTTCGATCATCCCTCCCCGCTGTCCCTCCTATTCTTCTTAGATTCACTATCTTCCCTTTCATTTCTATTTCCTCTCTTAACCAGTCCTCTGCATAACCCTTCTTTTCCCATCTTAATCCACCCTCTAAGTCTGTCACTATTATATTGTTTATTCTACTTTCTCTATCCATTTTTTCTCTCATATACTCTATTTCTTCCATATTGCCTACTTCTGTTCCTCTTTGCCTCTCGTTTCCTCCTTCTATACTTTCTTTTAATTTCACGCACGTTTCTTCCAATTGGTTCATCCTCTCTCCCCATTTTTCCTGCAGTTTCTTTTCTCGGAGTTCTGCTTTCTCCCTTGCTTCGTTCATCTCTCTCCTTCTTTCTTCTCTCTCTCTCTCTTGTTCTCTCCTAACTTTTCCTATTTCTTTCTCCCATCTTTCTTCTCTTCTTTTCCGGTCTGTCTTCATTCTTTCCATTTTTTCCATCATTTCTTTAAACATTTCTGTCCATTCTCTCCTTTCTTCTTTCCATACCTCTCTTAAATCCCTTATATCTGCTCGTATCTTTTCCATTATATCTTCTGCGCCATTACTTTTTCCCACTTCTCTTATCGTGTTGTCCAATCCTTCTCCCCCCCCCCTTCCATCTCGCTCCCCTCGCTTTCGCTCTTGCATCTTTTTGCCTCTCTCATTTTTCCTCTAATATTCTCCCTGAGCCCCTCTCCGCTCTCTCTCCCCCTCACCGCCTTTACTCTTTTCTTCATTTCCTCCTCTGGGCCTTTCTTATCCATCCACCTATATCTCTTAATTTTTCTGTTGTCACAAATCTTTCCATCA